GGTAAGAAAGGGTCAACTTCAACTTTGATTTATAATATGGTAAATACTTTTCGCCCAGTTGGATTGTACTTTTTATCGACAAGCATACATTGGATCGTACTTCGGGTATGGGCAATGCAGGTTTGGGGGGTTGGATGCATATTTCCCGTATGCTTACAATGGTAAAAGTGGAAATATGAAAATGAATTTACACTTTTACAGCCTTCTTTGATATGATCAGTCAGCCAAAGATGAAGGATCCTTGTGAGAACCCTTAAGATGGAGCCTTTTGATAGGGATCTTAAGCTTTGTTGCTTTGTCCAGACTCCAGGCTCATCCGCTGAACGGGTTCAGAGTTCAAAAGTTCATGTTATCTGAAATAAGGGAAGGTCCAATTGGGATTAGGGAAGAAACCACAGACTCATCCGCTGCACCATAGTAGGACTTTTACATTGATCATTATTGGATTTGAATCCTAAACGGGGCCTGAATTTTAAACATGCCTTGAAGAGGCCAGCTCAAATCAAGAATAGGCAAAAAAATGGTGAATTAGGTGGGTCTGGTCTAGGCTAAGGCTACTGCCTAGGGATTGTCAATTTGCAGACTCAGGCTGGGCTCAGGGAAATCGGATTTGCTTCTCACAATAGAGCGGGTCTTACACTCACTCATGGTACATCGCGGCTGTACATTGGAAACATTTTCCATAAATGATAAAATCAAATATGGGAGATGTTCTCAATTCACGACTGAATGCACTGAGATTGGTGTGAGGAGAAAATCCGGATTTGGGAGAGCTTTTCTATTGATTGCGCTGCATTGACTGAAAGAAAGAAAAAGAAGCTAACAAAATTAGTTTCACCAGAAAATGGTTTCTTACATTTTTGGCTTTCCAGGTTTTTAACTAAACATGGCTTTCCATTAGGGGTGTCCACGGTTTGGTTAACCGAACCATGGCCCTTTTTTGTAAACTGAACCGGTGGTATCAGTTTTTTCGTTTTGTCAAATCGAAACCGAACTGGTACCATCGGTTAACCGGTCCACCAGTTTTGGTTTTTGACCGGTTCGGTTTTTATATTTATAATATATATTATATAAATGTATGTATAATATTATATTATAAATATTTTAAAAATATATAATATATTTATAAATAGATCATTATAAATATAATATAAATATATATTTATATATAATGAATATATATTTATATAAAATACATAAAAAATATGTGACATATTAAAAATATATATAAAATATATATATAAATATATATAACTGCATTTTGCGATTTGGTTTTCTTGATTCGGTTTGTTTTTTTGGTTTTTCATATACACCCCTACTTTCCATGTGGAGGCTACCCTACAAACCTAAAAGCCACTTACTACTGTCTAAGATGAATGTATATTTATATAGAATTGTACAATTTCTTGTAAAAATTTACGTTTTTGCACAATTTGTTAGATTACATAAATTGTATATAAATATTCATATTTACATCAAAGTTTTACATGAGCAACAGTACGATTGGTATGAGTATGAAGTTTTTTTTTTGGAAATATTCCCTTAACAGTCACACAGCACCCCACAGCACATCCCAACAAATCTCTCTGTGACAGTACGAAAGATGTTCGCAATGCATGTGGTGAGATGTGGATATGGGATGTCAATCCGAATACATCTTATACCACACCGAGAAGTGCAACTGGGCCAGGAATGTCTGGAGATGACATTAGTGCCCTACACTACATCCAAACCGTGCATTAGAAATATCTCCTAAGATGTGCATGTGGTGCGCAGATGTGAATTGAGATGTTTGAGACCTCTGACATGTCCCATGCAATGTTGTTGTAATTTTACTAAGCATCCAACAACACTCCAATCCTAATCCAGAGGCCATCCCCAATTTTACTAAGCACTCAATTTCACCCATTCACAATCTGTTCAAACCCAGTTCATTTACAACAAATTGGAAACGAGATTAAATAAGAAATTTGGCCAAAATAATATTAGGGTCAACTTGACACGTCTGCCCTTGTGCTCAAAATCTGCGGATTCTTGATTTGATTTTCCGCACCCCGATTCAGAAACACGGCCTTCCTCTCCTCTCGTTTCCTGTACAACAAAACAATTGGCGACGCCAACTGTAACGGGTCAAAGTTTTCCATTTATCTTGAATCAAATAACAAATAACCGCTTCTTCTTTTCAAGGGGATGATTTTGATGAAGAAAAGCAAACATTCTTATTGTAGAGTAGTGATTCGTCTCAGAAAGTCCGCCGCGGCGAGCTGGCGACGGCGATGGTTCGTTGAAGTTTGAACTGAAGGGTCAAAGTCAATAATTAAATTGGTCATTGGTGCATGGGATGGATCATGGATGCTCTCTCAACTCTCATCCTCATTCCTAAATCCTAAACATTGCACGGGTTGCTTACGTTACTTCTTACGCCATCTTCCCAAGTTTTTTCTCACTCATCAAGCACGGAAACACCTCAGGCTCAGAGGTTCACCTCTCCAAATAAATAGCGCCGCTGCACTCTCCCTCCTCGATCTGCACGTGAATTCTAATGCCAATTCTGGAAACACAATAAACATATATTTTGATTATTTTCTTTTTATAGGTTCAGGTTTAAGAATTATATATAACAGTGTGCGTATAATACCTATATTTAATTATATAGGGTTGTGTTGTGCTTTTTATAGGTTCATGTTTGCATATTATTTTACCTCACTTACTTGACGCACCTATATATATATATATATATATCTTATCATATATAGTAATAGATAACCAAAGAAATGAACATAACAGGGAACTCCTTATATTTTATATTAATGCACATTCCTTCCCAAAAATTACTTAATCCAAATGAAGTGGACTTAATTTATAAGAGTTGTTTTGAGAGTAGGGGTGCACCTTGGTCCTTGGGGTGGGTTAGCCTAAATTTAGTTTTGTTGATGCTCACATTAGAGTTGAGGGTGAAAAATATGAACAGGGTTGGGTTTGAGTTGAGTAGTTGAGGCTTTGGGCAAGCCAACTCTAATGTTGGATATGTATGTATGTGTATGTACTAGGTTTGTTAGACATGCTTACACAACTATGCATCAATAAATTTGGTAATGCTAAAATCAATTAGGACTCATTTGGTTCATGGGAATAGGGATCTGGAATCAGATTCAGATTCAGAATGGATCATTCTAATTTCAACTGTTTGGTTGCACAGAATTGGAATCCTATTCTTATTCTTAATGAAATGACATTCTCCCATTTGAGGGAATGATTATTCCTTCATTTTTCATTGGGAATGAGATCGGTAATTTCAATTCTCACTCCAATTCTTATCTGAACTAAATAAATTATAGGAATACATCATTCTGACTCCAATTTCAACTATAAATCAAATGGATTCTTAATCTTAATTTACCGTTCTCAATTACCCCAAAAGTTATGTTCCATTGGATTGGAGTTGAGGTAGGGGGCTCAACTACTCCGCTCGACTTGCAAGCTTCCACGTTAAATAATCAATGTGGTAATTTACTAATTAAAAGAGTCAGCCATTAATTCCGACTTAAAATCGCTATACAGACTGATCGTTTGGTATAACCAAGTGTAGAAAAGAAAGGTGTAGCGAATCCCAACTCTCTCTCACAAGGGAAACCTTTATAGAATTAAACCATATTTGTATCCTCTCATTGCACACTAACTGCATCCTTTTCATCTCATTCTCATTCATTTGCTTCTTATGCGTGTGTAGGTCTAAACTACTTACCATGTTCTCCATTTCACTCACACTGTAATTGGCATGTTGTGTCCATATAGAGAAGAAAAGCTCAGCTGTCTCTCTCATCGATATCGAATCCAAAAGTCCAAACTCACTCAATTTCTATGAAACCGTGCCAGAAAATTAGGTTGAAGCTGGGCTGCGGTTTTCAATGTAGTGGATATGTATGATGATGATTCTGTTATGTCTCCACATGGGATAGGTCCCACCTTAATTTTATTTATTTACCAAAATCCAAGACACGACAAATGTGTCCTCTTCCTTTGCCCATGTTTACGAAAAGAAAGAAAAAATTTACTCATGCATGCATATTGAATAATGGAATTATTGATATCGTTTTCCCTTTCCCTCCTCTAAACTCTCGGGGAATCCATGGGTTGCCACGTGGTAACCTGGGAATCTCATGACCCACGTGTTTTTGGAAGAATATACGCGCTGATATCCACGTATCAAGTGAGGTCCACATCTTCCATTCATATCAACGCCTTTGGACAGCCTTCCGCACCCAGGTTTTCGTCACCTGAACGTGACTCCACCTCCCCTTGTGTCACTGCTCACTGCCTTGTTAGTTACCATCTACGTCATACATTTTCCCCGAAATGCCCTCTCCCCTCGGCCTTAATTGCCTTATGTGCCGTGCCCTTCAGTCTTCACACCACCAATCCAAACTACCCGGTTTGGAATACCAAAAAAAATAAAAATAAAAGGGAAACTACCCGGTCCGAATCACCTTTCTATTATTATAAGAGCTTTAATTTGATTTTTGTATACACAACACACCATTTGGGCCAGTTTTGTTGGAAATTTGTTAAAATGGATTTTTAGAGTCTGTTTGGAGGGCTTTTAATCGAGAGCTGCATTGAGTGAGAGCGACTTGGGACAAACCATCAAAACTAGTTTCACCGGAAGTCAATTAATCAGCTCAAGGACAGCATTTTTCGGCTTTTCAGGGTAGTTTTTACCAAACGCTACATTCCCAAACGGGCACTTAATTGAGAATCCTTGTTCAACGGGTTCGAATCGGACATCTTATTTGACATTTTGAAAAGCAACGGCTCATGCATGAATGTAGTAGAATCAATGTATAGGGCTATATATAGATTAGGGCAGCAGCTCGTAGTCGTTCATAGAGGATATTGTCGTAAATCTACGCAATATCATGAGCATTTAGTCAACTCTTTTTCACTTTTAAAAAACCCATTCAAGAGACGAATGTCGACGTATAGAAGAAGGAAAAATAACAGAAAAAGAAGGAAATAAAATCGGAAATAGATAATTGAAATTCTAAATCCCAATCCGTCCGCTCTCGTTTCCTTCATTTCTTGCCGTTTACAGAAATCAACCGAATTCGCCGAACCAACCAACCCCCATTTTTAAAAGTCTATCATTGGATCTAGGCCGGGATTCTTTTCCTTCTTCCTGCATCCTTAGTTGCATCTCTAGTCCCTGGAGCTGCACAACACATTTACTTAATAACATAGAAAACAAAAATCAGTCGAAGAAGTTTTGATCCATTCTATGGTTCTTTATCCCTCACAATTACCGAGGATTTCTCATTTATCTGTTTTCTTTTGTCTTTGTTTCGATTGCCAAGAGTTCGTGCATATTTGAATTTTTATTCCGAAGCTCTGTCCGAAACCTCCAATCAAGATATTCTTCGAGGAAGCAGTTCAATTTAGGGTTTCATATCTCTCTCCAGTGAGAGATCTGTAGTAGTTGTTCTTACTTGAATTTCTTTATATCTAATGGGGAAGGTGGTTGTTGGAGCTGCGGTGATATGTGCTGCTACTGTTTGCGCGGCGGCAGCTCTTATCGTTCGCCATCGGATGCGATGCTCAGGCCGTTGGGCTCGGGCGATGGCTATCCTTAGGGAATTTGAAGAGAAGTGTGCGACACCGATTGGGAAGCTCAGACAAGTGGCTGACGCCATGACAGTCGAGATGCATGCTGGTCTTGCGTCAGAGGGAGGGAGTAAGCTCAAGATGCTTATCAGCTATGTTGACAACCTCCCTACAGGGTACTAGAGTCCTTTTTTCGTTTCTTATTATTAATTTTATTTCCTTGCGTTTTTCCTTCATGGGCTTATTAGTTTCTTCTTTCGTGGTTTTATGTTACTAAGTTCTTCTTGTTCGACCTTTTCTCGTTCTTTTACTTCTATCATTTTTTTTTTTTAAGTTTTCGGGAGATTTCGATTAAAATCGTGCAGTACTTATGAAAAAAAAAAATTATCTTTTCTATTATACTTTCGTTATTTTGGTATAACTTTGAAAAAGTTATTGACGATTTCTTTGCTACATGAAACTAAAAAAATTGATCTTCTTTCTTTTTTCTTTTTCTTTGCTAATACATCGTTAGCATTTTATATTTTGTACTGTACATGCGCTCTGTAATATGGTTTTTCTTTCCAAATTATCAGAGCTTTTCTTTTCTCTACTTTGTTCAACTTTATTCATAGTTGGGATGTTGTATGGACAAATTGAAAATTACGTTATCCTTATTTTCTCTCATTTTTATTGGGCTCTTCTCTTTATCCATGTTTAGTATTGTAGAGCAAATAATTTTTTTGATAGTTCTTTTTGCATTTGATATAATTTCATTGGATTACGAGTTTTACCTTTTTGAGGTTCTTCGATAGAGTCTGGGAAAGATGGTTCCCTTGGATGATTAGTATGAATCTTGATGGTATATAATCTTACATGCAAATCACTTCCTTTGCTGGTTTATAGTTTTTCTTTTGCTTCGATAACTTATTTGGCTGCAATTTCCTTATCCCCTATACAGAATTTTCTTTTTTTTTTTTGTTGATGAATCCCCTATACAGAATTTTATTATTATTATTATTATTTTTGATGAATCCCATATACATAATTTTTTTTGCTTCTTGTAATTTCCTTCTCTTGTGTCTCTTTTCTCCTTTATCACCTTTTATATTTGTTTGATTCCCCATGATATTTTTGCTGTTCATATCCATTTTGGGATAACTTCTTTCATTTTCCCTCGTTTTTCTAACCCTTGTCTTTTTTTTTTTTTTCGTTATATTCCATCCCCTCTTTTTCCCCCATTCTAATGCTGATTGGGTCTGTTTGTTGATCTAGATTTGGCACTCTTCTACTGTTCTATTGTTGGATTATTCCTTTTAGTAATTCATGTTCTTTTTGAAGTGCTATATTGTTGTGGTGATCTGATTGTCAAGGTTGAGTGTTATTAGATGTTGCATGGATAAGGAATAGAATGCCTCCTTGGTTGCCCAACTGGGCTACCTTTTGCTTTTGAATGAATGATGTTTCTAATGTATTAATTTTTTTCCAGTTTCCTTGTTTCATTTTCTCTCTTCTATAGCAATATGATGGCCAAGATCAGCGTGATGTAATTTTGTTTGGAACAATGGCACTTTCTGAAAGTGGCTCCCCTCTGTCTTCTAATAGTACCACTCTCTATCAATTAAAAACTTCAAAAAATGTTGAATTTTATTAGCAGTGATTGATATATGTAAATGCTTGTACTGCAGTTGCGAATATACTGTAGAACTGGAATTCATTCATCAGATTTAATTAAAAATTTTAAAATTTAAGAAATAGGAAAAAGTACCGGCTCTTGATAACTGCTGCTATATTGACAACAGCCAAAATTCAGCACCATTGCTATTTGTTTCTTATTTATAACGTTGAGTTGGAAGGAAATTTATTTGATTCTGGAATCATTCCATATTTATGTATTCTGGTAAGAAACATTTGTTATCATTTTCTTGTGAATCAATTATTCTGATAAAATGACTCATCCAAAACTGTAAATAAGATCACTCATGAATGTATCCTTTGGTCATCCTTCTTCATTTAGGAATGAGAGAGGATTATTTTATGCATTGGACCTTGGTGGAACAAACTTCCGTGTATTGCGTGTACAGTTGGGTGGGAAGGATGGACGTGTTGTCAATCAAGAATTTGCTGAGGTGTCAATTCCTCCACATTTGATGACTGGGGGTTCAGAAGTAAGTAACTTCCAATCTAAGTTGCCACTTATGTAGATTTAGTTGTATTATATAACATTCCCTAATCCCTACCATTTATTGTAATTTCAGGAGCTGTTCGATTACATTGCTGCAGAGCTTGCAAAGTTTGTTAAAACTGAAGGTGAAGATTTTCATCTTTCTCCTGGCAGGCAGAGGGAACTGGGTTTTACCTTCTCATTTCCAGTGAGGCAATTATCAATCACATCAGGGACCCTTATTAAGTGGACAAAAGGCTTCAGTATTGAGGATGTGGTTAGTCCTATTACCTGGGCTCCTCTTTACATGCTTAATATTGATCAGTGCCTTGATTATGAATTAGGTGGACAGATAAGTTGGTGATTATAATGTAGTGTCATTTGGAAATCTACACAAAAGGCGATATGAAGTGGATATAGACAATTTAAGTTATGCATTTTTATGTGTACCATAAAAGGCCATCATAGTTTTCAAGGCGCCAAGGCGAGGCGAGGCGACAAGGGGGCGCCTAGACGTCACCTAGGCGATAGATTTTTTTTATGTAGAAAACATAGATCCTAAGTAGTTCCCTAGGTACCATAACCATATTTCCTTGATAATTATTCATAATTTTCATAAGAAAAGTATAAAGTTCAAGTTAAAGTATAGAAAATCAACATATTAATGAGAAGAAGGAAAAGAACATTCAAAAAATATAAGGGATGAACCCTTATTTTTGTTATAGGAAAAGAAGAAAAGAAGTAGTAGTAGAAAATGTGTTGATTAGACAAAATTTTAAGTTCTTCTTTACTTATTGGTTCAGGTTTTAATGTCTTTGAGGGTCCAATACAGCATTTAGCAATGCTTGTATTGATTAAACCCTAACAAATAAGAAAATAATAAAAAGAAATTAGTATAAAAACACACAAAATGAATATTTTAGTTTAATAGTGCCTATTTTATAATTATAATATCAAAAAATAAAGAATAAAAAAGTATTTTATAATACATAGTACAAAACTGCTTCGCGGTTAGGCGAAGCGAGCCTCAAAGGGTGCCTTGTCGCCTAGGCGTCGCCTTGACAACTATGAAGGCCATATTTATGTGTGAAAGTTGTTGAACTTCCAATGACTTTATTATCTGATCTTGCCCTTCTAAATTATGCTGTCACCTCAGGTAGTTTCTTCTTGACACATATGTGTATGTATACCTTATTTCAATTGCCCAGCTGCAGTTCTGTAGATAACATCATCAAATATCTCTGTTCATTTGAATAACCATATGGAGAAACAAAAATGCCCATTTTGCAGTATCTCCTTGGCATAGGCATTGGTTTGTCACTTTGCTGAAGTTGCAACAATAAACTTTATATTGATCTAAATTCTTTTACATAGCTTTCAATTTTAAAGAATGTTTAGAAGTTCCAGCTATGGATTTGATCTATCCCTAGTCAACTAGCAAAACATCACTAGAAAACAATGTGTTCCTGACTAAAATATTTGTTAGTTCATCCGTGAATAAAAAGAATGATCAGAAACCCATTTCAAAATATACAATCAAAAGTCTATTGTGGCAAAGATGCATTGGGATATCCCTGATCTGTCATTTTGTATAACTTTATGCTGTCCTTTGCTCCTTGACCATTTCAAAATTCTGATTCGCCTTTTTTTTCCTCATTGCCTGATTAGGTTGGCCAAGACGTGGTTCTAGAGCTGACTAAGGCCTTGGAAAAACAAGGTCTTGATATGCGTGTCGCAGCTCTGGTAAGTTCAAGTGGATGTCTTCCTGGATCGTACCCTATTGTTGACTTATTTAAGATGATGACCTATAGTTCTTGACCAGTAGCCAGTGTGGGAGCTTTGCTGCTTCTGGTTGATGGCTATAAATTTATGAGTATTAAAACAGTGGACTTTATGCAGGTCAATGACACAATTGGAACACTAGCAGGAGGTAGGTACTTGAACAATGATGTTATTGCTGCTGTAATATTGGGTACCGGTACCAATGCAGCATATGTAGAATGTGCAAATGCAATTCCCAAGTGGCATGGACTTCTACCTAAGTCGGGGGAGATGGTTGGTGTTCTTTTCCAGTTATGCTTTCATTTACATATTCACTCTTATCAGAATATGCTGTTTTCCTCCTGTCTTGGGCATATTACAAGTCAATTACAGTCAATTTGCTCATGAACATAGAAGGAAATCATAATTAGAAAATGCAAATATGATAAATGCAGATAAATATTCCAATAAAAAAATGCAGATAAATATTGATCTGTCTCTACCTTAATAATATAGGTTATTAACATGGAGTGGGGTAATTTCCGATCTTCACATCTTCCTATAACAGAGTATGATCATGCATTGGATGTAGAGAGTTTAAACCCCGGTGAACAGGTAATTATATCCTTACCATCATTATGATGGAATGATCCCCAAGTTGCATATCTACTAATATGTTCTATGATTAAATGTAGATATTTGAGAAGATAATCTCTGGAATGTACTTGGGAGATATTGTACGTAGAGTCTTATTGAGTATGGCTGAGGAGGCTGCCTTTTTTGGTGACACTGTTCCACCACAGCTTAAAGTTCCATTTATATTGAGGTACATTATCATTCTGTTGGCTACATATGTAAACCTTTTCATTTTTTATGTCTTTTTTTCTATATTTCTGTCTTGCTCTATACAACTTCCTAAAGTTAAGTGCATTGTTGAAGTTCAACAGTTATTGCAATAAAAGTCAAACTAGGGTTATATGCTAGCTACTTTGCTCATAGATTAAACAGAGAAACATGGGTTAGAGTTTTAAGAAAATTAACTTCTGTGGGTTTTTAGGAAAATAAAGAGTTATTGCATGGAAAGGAAGGAGATTTAGGGCTAGTTCTACAGTATTGGTGTGGTTTTAAAGGACTATTAAAATGAAGGGTTTATTTATGATGGAGAAAAGGAGTGCTTGTCTAGACTCTGTAACACGCAGGTTCAAGGGTGGTTTACCTTGGTTTTCAAGAATCTTGAGTGCAAATGATAGAGATTTCTGGATCTGTTTTAGTCCATTGGGCATGATAAGAATGGTAAAAATGGGGGACTACTTTTGGACTTGAAAAATACTTTCATGGCATGGGTAATTTGGTTATGAAAGAAAAAGCACAAGAATTTCTGTCCCACAAGAATTTCTAGTTTAGAGCATAATATGGATGGTGCATAGGCGACTGAGTATCATGGTCTAAAGATTTTTGTGCCGTTGCCAATGATATCTAAACCCATTTATCTATATCTAACCAACCAAGAAATACTGATGTCTCACCATTTTAATGAGACATCTCACTATAGCAACACAATCAAGAGTAAAACATTCTAATATCATTTAAGTTTATAAAATGTAGAGGATTGTGATTATGAGTGGGCATAAAACATAAACTTTACATTTTCTATCCTAATGGAATTTAAAATGATTGATAAATCAAGAACTTAATTTCTAAGGGCAAAAAATTAAATTTACCTAGAGAGAAATAAATCTCTACAACAGGTTTCTGACTTTAACCCATATGTTGCATATCAGAATGTATTATTAAAAAAGGCATGTCACAATTATACAATGAGAATGGTTTGCAATTTCAATATTGATGGACGTTTTGCCATATGCAAAGATGAGAAAATTTTGGATATATTTTTGTAATTTCTCTAGATACGGAAAATCTAAATAAATAAAGGAAATTTAATAAAACATCTTTGTTAATGCAGCTTTATGGATTGTTAGAAGTACAATTGCACATTTAAGACTTGAAAACTATAGCAACAACAGTGTATATGGAATAAGAAGATTAAGAGACTTGAATAGGAATCTACCTCTCCCTTTTAGCCTTTTAGCCATATATAGGTGATAAAATGAGAGAAATTAGAAGATGGTTTGGTCACATGCATTGAAGACCATTGACAGAACCTGTAAGAAGAACTGATCTATTGCAAGTTCAAGGGGCTAGAAGGGAGATGTAAACCAGTCCTCAAAAATAGGTGTAAACTTGAAAAATTAGAGAGAAAAAGGAGGAAGAAAAGTAAGAGTAGCAGTACAAGAGAAGAAGATGGAGAAAAGAGGAG